GCACTTTGACTCCCGATCAGCCCCATATAGACCCTATTCCGGACAACCCTAAAACCGACCCACGGGCTCTACCGTGAACCGACCCACTGCTAGTTCGGCCCCACCTCGCCCGGACTTTAAAGGTAAAGCCCCTGAACGTGATGCCCCCAAAGCCAATTCGGGAACCATGTGTTATAGGTGTCATGGGTATGGACACATTGCTTCGCAATGTTCCAGTCCCTATAAGGTCACTATAATAGAAGAGGTTGATGACGACGAGGAAGAGCCCGAGATTGACTTAGTTCATCATGTTGATGAAGAAGAAGACTCATTCACTGAGGATAAATCTGTTGCCTTACAAGTCGTTAGATGTGCGTTGTCCCAACCTAAGCCAAGTGATGACTGACATAGGACTTCCATTTTCCATACATTTACTAAGATTGAAGATAAGAACTGTAAGGTCATTATTGATAGTGGAAGTTGCATCAACGCTGTCTCTCAGCGATGATTTCAAAACTTAACATTAAAGCCACACCTCACCCAAACCCTTATAAGGTTGCCTGGATTAACTCAACCTCTATGGAGATAAAAAATAGGAGCCTTATCCCGCTTGAGTTTATTGGATATCAAGAGAAGATTTGGTGTGACGTGTTGACGATGGATGTGGGCCAAATTATCCTTGGTCGCCCTTGGCTTTTTGACAATGATGTCCACATTTATGGGAGGACAAATACCTGCGTATTTTAACATAACGGTAAAAAGATCAAACTTATTCCCTCCCAACCTAAGAATAGTAAGAGTGAAGATAAGCCTGCTACCCCTAAAACCAGTAAGGGCCTACACCTTGTGATTGCTAAAGAAGTGGATATAGAATTTAACCAAGGATCCCCTATGTACGCCCTGGTAGCTAGGGAAGTTAATGATGATCAAGGGGAGCCTGTCCTTGAAGAGATTAAGCCTCTTTTAGAAGCTTTTGCTGATGTCTTCCCAGAAGACTTACCCAACCAACTCCTGCCTGTAGGGACATCCAACATGTCATCGACTTAGTACCCGGAGCTTCCCTACCTAACCTCCCTCACTACCGGATGAACCCAACGGAGCACACCGAATTGAAAAGGCAAGTAGATGAACTTCTACAACGTGGATTTATCAAAGAGAGCCTTAGCCCATGTGCAGTTCTTGCCCTTTTAACTCCAAAGAAGGACGGCTCTTGGAGGATGTGTGTTGATAGTCGCGCTATCAACAAGATTACTGTGAAGTATCGTTTTCCGATCCCACGATTAGACGACATGTTAAACATGATGACTGGAGCAACGTTGTTTTCAAAAGTTGACCTTAAAAGCGGATACCATCAAATCATAATCCGCCCTGGTGATGAATGGAAAACGGCCTTCAAAACAAAAGACGGGTTGTATGAATGGATGGTTATGCCATTTGGCCTTAGCAACGCTCCCAGCACCTTCATGCGTGTGATGACCCAGGTACTTCGGCCGTTCCTAGAAAAATTTGTCGTTTATACTTTGATATCTTGATCTATAGTAACTCGGTGGATCAACACTTAAAACATCTGAAGCAAGTCTGTGAGATTTTGAGAAACGAACAGTTGTATGCTAATCCTAAGAAATGTGTATTCCTCACTGATAGTGTTACTTTTCTCGGGTTCATCATTTCAGCTAAAGGAATTTCAGTCGACCCTGAGAAGGTTAGAGCAATTAATGAGTGGCATGATCCTAAAAATATTAGAGATGTTCAGAGTTTTCACGGATTGGCCACATTCTATAGGAGGTTTATTAGAAACTTTAGCACTATAGTGGCCCTCATAACTGACTGCCTCAAAAAAGGAGAATTTCATTGGACATTAACTGCCACTAAGGCTTTCAAGGATATTAAGAGGAAAATGGTTGAAGCCCCTGTCATGCGTCTCCCTGATTTCTCTAAAGTTTTTGAAGTAAATTGTGACGCATCGGGAATTGGAATAGGAGGAGTTTTATCTCAAGAAGGACACCCTGTGGCTTACTTTAGCGAGAAGTTAAATGACATTCGTTAAAGGTATTCTACCTACGATAAAGAATTCTATGCGGTCATTCAGTCCCTTAGATACTGGAGACACTACTGACTGCCACAAGAATTTGTGATATTCTCGGATCATGAAGCCTTGAGATACATTAATTCGCAGAAGAAACTCAATGCCCGCCATGGTCGTTGGGTTGAATTCTTACAAGAGTACACTTACACGATTAGACATAAGGCTGGATCTGAGAATAAAGCGGCGGATGCCCTTAGTAGGAGATTGATGATTACCCAAGAAATGAGAACTGAGGTTATCGGATTTGAACGCCTTAAGGAAGACTACAAGGACTGCCCGGATTTTAACGATACCTATTCCATTTTGACCTCTGGACGTGAGCGTACGGTAGATGATTTCTTAATAGAAAATGAGTACCTATTCAAGGCTCAGAAACTCTGTATTCCCCAAACTTCCCTTCGTGAATACCTTGTCTGGGAATTACATGCGGGAGGTTTAGCTGGCCACTTCGGGCAGGCCAAGACTATTGCTGCATTAGAGAATCATTTCTACTGACCCAACCTTAGGCGCGATGTCAGTAAGCTCTTAAGACGATGTCATACCTGCCAGCTGGCCAAGCAGCGCAAGCAGAATACGAGACTCTACTCTCCACTCCCCGTACCCAGTTTCCCTTGGCAGGATGTGAGTATGGATTTCGTCATTGGATTGCCCAAAACCGTTAGGAAGAACGATTCTGTCTTTGTGGTCATCGACCGATTCTCTAAAATGGCCCACTTCCTCCCGTGTTCCAAAATGTTCGATGCTTCGTGGATCGCGAAGCTCTATTTTGACGAGATAGTTAGACTGCATGGCCTACCGAAAACCATCGTTTCTGATAGAGATGTTAAGTTTACAAGTTATTTTTGGAAGACTCTCTGGCACAAGATGAGGACGAAGCTTCAATTTTCTACAGCTTTTCACCCCAGACCGATGGTCAAACTGAGGTTGTTAATAGAAGTTTAGGAAATCTTTTGAGGACATTGGTAGGAGAAAACCTTAGGGATTTGAATTCAAAACTTCCTGTCGCGGAATTTGCTTATAAACATTCTATCAACCGAACCACTGGCCTTAGTCCTGCTGAGATTGTGTACGGATATCGACCCAAACAACCTATTGATCTAGTTCCCATGAGTCCTAAGAGTAGAACATCTGAGTCTGCATTTGCATTTGCATCTCATCTCCATGAGTTACACACTGAGATTAAAAAGAAAATTGAACAAAGTAATACCAATTATAAAATTATTGTTGATAAGAAAAGAAGGTTTAAAGAATTCGAAGTGGGAGACTTTGTGATGGTACGGATCCGCCCGGAGCGTTTTCCTCCTGGTTTCATAAAGAAATTGCATGCGAGAAGTGCCAGACCATTTAAGATAATTTCAAAGGTTAACATTAATGCTTATGTGCTAGACCTCCCAGGAGGTTTTAACATAAATTCAACTTTTAATATAGAGGATATAGTAGCCTTCGAGGGTCCTGATTTTAACCCGAACAATCCACTTTACAATGAGCATTGTGTGACCCCACCTAGTGAGATCCATAGCCTTTCTCCACTCCCCAATTTACCCCATTTATCCAATGCGGAGAATATCAAAACCATTCTAGATGATGAGATTATTTCCACAAAGGATGGAGGGCGCCAAAGGTACCTAGTTCATTGGAAAGGAACACCGGAGACAGAGGACACGTGGATTGATCGAGATGAGCTACAGAGATTGGATCCAGACCTTCTAGAGTTATACGAGAGCTTCCACAGTACGCACTCGACTGGGTCGAGTTCTCTCCCACGCGAGGAGAATGATGGGGACATTGACAGGAGATTCCGACGCGTTTATCATAGACGACACCGGAGATCGATGGCCATGATGGAGAGCCTTTACTATTGATGATTATTTGTATTTGCATTTTATGTATTATGCATTTATTTTCAGTTTTTCCATTTTTGTCCTTATGAGTATTTGTTTGTTTTGTAGCCCAAGGGGCATATTAGACTTTTGTACGAGTTGTCATGTCGAGCCTATATATATGGCTCTTGTATCTTATATGAATGATTATTGATGAATGAAAATTTCTTGCTCTTATGTTCTCTTTGTGAGTTCTTTTTTTTTAGATCTCTTGGTGAGTTCTTTTTTTTGTTTGAGATCTCTTTGTAAGTTCTTTAAGTAATTCATTAAAGATTACAATCCGAGTTTTTCTCCTCCTCCATAAGCTATCACAAGCAAATCCCAAGAGTTGGAAGAAGCCGAACCCTCCACTGTTGCCGCCACCCTTGGAGCCCTGACCCGTCGGCCACCCTAGCTCCACCGGCCGGCCACCTTGCCGCCGGCCTCTCCCCTCCCCATCATTCCCCCGTGCCTCTCTTCCCTAGCCTTCTTTGGAATTTGAATTTCAAAATTCAAACTCTTTCCAAATATGGAAATTCCATTTAAGGAAAGTTTTGAATGAGTTCAAATTTAAAATTAAATTGAATTGGATTTAATCAAAATTTTCCTAGTCATCATTTGTGTTTGGAAACCCCTCTCCCTCTTTCCCTAACTCCCTCTCTCTCTCTCCATACCGCCGGCCCCTTAATGGGCTCTCCCCATTGAATGAGCATTAACCCCTCCCCTCTATTTGGAATCCAAATTGGATTTCAAATAATTTCCCTCCCTATTTGATAAAATTGAAGTTTAATTTCAGTTTGTTAAAATAACCCCAATCCCCTCCCTCTCTACACCGCCGGCCTCCCCTCTTTGATTCCCCCAATTCACTCCTTCATCAATGCATTAATTGTGCTCCTTTTGAAATCAAATTTTCAAAGGTTTCCCTCCCAAACTAATTTAAATCTGAGAATAATTTCATATTTAGATCCAAATCCAATTCCCACCAAGAAAACCTAGCTCCTCCCCTCCTCGCCAAGCCACCCCCTTCTTCTCATCTCGGGTTTCTTCGTGAGCTCTCATCTTCAAGTCTATGTTGCATGGCGGATTCCGAACTTGAATGGGGACTAGTGTTCGACGCCTACGGTAATATCAACATTCTACGATCTCCATTCTTCGACGTGGGATTTGAACACGACGACACCATCAGAGATTACTTGGATCGAATTCTCCCCATCCTTGTGCTCGTCATCGACGGTCAATTTTTCGACTACGATTGGAGCCTCGTCGGCCACCCACCACCCTCATCTCCTCCGGCTACCTTCCCAACAACGACGTTCCTCGGCTCCTCCTTCGTGGCGACCTCATTTCTGGCGTGGACGATCTTCTCCCGCTCAACCTAGATTCGTAGGAAAGAGAGAAAGGCCTCAAGGTGAACAACTCGTTATTAATCGTTGGATTCAAGTTATAAGCTTTTAACGTTACTTTTTTCCTTTGTATTTGATTAAATCGTTTGGTTAACTCCCTTGTAATTCTTTGCCTAAGCAAGTGGAACACAACGAATTCTCATAGCCAACTTTGAATTGATGCATGATTTTATAAAAGGTTAAGCTAATAGTAAATTTTCTTTCCTAATCTTGTGTAACTCAAGCTCACGTCACATCACTATAACTGCACTAAATTGCAAAGGAAACAATGAGAAGACAATGATAATGCAATGATGATAGGATAGAATTTAATGGAGGTTTATGACTGTCACACGGAGCTCCTAAGTCAGTTGAGGTAGGATGGAATCTAATTCATCACTTTTTTTAAAAATACATACAACACTATAACTTGAACAACTATTTAGTACTTCATATGCTAATTGGATAGTAACAAATGATTACATTACATGATTTTCCTAAACAAGTATAGAAAATATCAAAGATCATTATAAGCTTTAGTATCTAATCTAATATGATATATAGTAGGATAACGACTTGATATCTAATCTTTATGAAAATGAAGATGAATGACTTGATGGACTCTATTAAGTCTTGTGGGTGAGAATTCTTCTTTGAAGAGTTGAAGTCCTTGTAATCCTTAGAGGGCTTAACATAGTTATAGGTATGCCTATTTAAGAGAACTTATAAAATGCATAACAAATGAATAATTGCATAGCACTGCTTCCTTGCCCCAAGCTCTACTACCTTGCATGAATTGACGGAGTGTTTTTGAGTAGCAAATTCTTAACTTATATCTATTATCTCAATGATAGATATCATAAACTTAAAACTTTTTATTTGCTTAACGCTCTTGTAGAAGCTAGCCATTTAGAAACCATGTTTGTGGAATGACTGGACTTCAGGCTAAGGAATTATAGAAAACACAAATAATCATTTAACAATTTTTTTTAATTGCTATGTAATCCAAAGAGCTTGCATGTTTGTACCATCATTCCTCAACTATGATGAAAGAACCCTTACCTTATCTTTTTGAAGAAAAAATATTGTCCTTGTTTAAGGATATGTCTGCTTTTCCAACTCCGTGTCATTTATTAGTCAATAATAGTATAGATTAGAAGGTTTGAAAAATTGAAATGAGTAAAAGTAGAATTGGCTTTGCTATAGATTCAAAATGCTGTAATGGAGGAAAAAAAAAGGAGAATTGATACTTAGTGAATTGATCAGAGAAGCATTGACAGTTTGTAATGCCACGGGGTAATGATATAACTGCTTGTATAAACACAGGGAAACCATAAAAACGAGACATCTTTTGCTTCTTTGCTTCTTTAATTCTTTTAAAGGCTGCCATAATTATCCTATACACCCACTTTACCATCAGAAACAAAGGCTATATTTTTAAAATACATTGTAGAACGACTTGAGTTTAACACCAAAAAAAAAAAAAAAAAAAGAAAAAAAAAACCTTAGCATGGATCAAAGGATGTCATGAAAAGTGAAATTCACATAATAGAAGTGGCATTCCCATATATTGTGTCCTTTGGTAGGCATTGTGTGCCTTACCTTGTGGTGATGCCATGCATGTAGGAACAAACCATCACAGGTCACACCAGAAAGGTTGAACGTCATAATATCCATCTCAAAACAAAACCAAATAAAGGATTCGGATGAGCGATACACTTTCAAGTATGATTTATTGTGACCTTCATTTGATGCACTCAAAGTGAAAGTGATTATTAGAAATATTAACAAACCGGAATATATATATATATATATATCGCAGTATGCCACATCTACCACTCTAGTTATCATGCAAAAGAATGAAAAGTAGCAAAAGCTGCTTGAAAGAAGGTGCTGACCCATTAAAAAAGCATAAAGAAATGAAACCACCTTAACAAGCAAGGGGCATAACTCTTTTCAAATAGGAAAATATTGTCATAAATAGCTAAGTGACAGCAATTTTGGCGATCATTATCGAATATCAGATCTAGCATATATAAATAAAGAAGTCTCTTATGGTCAAGTTGAGTGTATTTGACATTTACGAATAATAAGATCTTGCATGAGTTGAGTGTGGGAAAACGCAGAATGTTGAGATAGATATATGGTAAAACTAAAAAGAATAGAATGAGAAATAATTATATTAGATATACAATGGAGTAACATTTATTGATGAAGCAATAGTAGAAAATAGGCTTCTATGTGGAAGTTGGAAGGTGCATTAAGAAGCCTGATGAGTATAATTAATATGGAAGGAAAGGTAGAGCAAAGATACCATGATGCGAGTCTATGTAAAATATTTGCAAATAATGGAGTAAACATCACATGCTAATTCAACAAGGATGAATGTATGATTTATAAAACTAGCCTCAAATTATTGGGATAAAGCTGATGTTATGATGCGGAAAGAAATATGCAAATCTTTCCAAAATGGGATGCATATTCTTCCTAATGTTTACTTTCTAAAATGGGACATCAAATAGTTGAATGAACCCTAGCGTTTAGAGGTCAAAAAGTTGTTATGTTACTCAATCCAAGTCGAAGTCAAGGACAAAGTATTGAGGCAAGTAAATGCTCAGGTAATCTTATGACTATATGGGCGTTAGAACTCCAACATGATCTAAACTGTAGCATTTCTAAACCTGAAAGCTTCTTATTTCTAACATAATACAAAAAATGTTATTGTTTCCTTTTTTTAATCGATGACCACATGTGACTTTTAAAGTTGGGCTTTTATTTGGAACTATTTTGAATATCACATTTGCAACTGCTTATTTAAATTTTCATAGTTTCCAAGAATTAAGTAAGCTTAATTAAAGTTTGTGAAAATTCCCTTGGCCCATATTAGCAAAAAGCAGTCATACCTGTTTTTATTTTTTATTTTTATTTTACTTTCAAAGCTATATATAATTACTGATATTTCATACCTTATCATACCTTACCCTCTTTTAATATATCATATTTTAAGAAATGATACTTCATGATTCATCCATTCTGAAGTGTTTGAATCCTCGAAATGAACATAAAAATGTGTGGCATTTTTCCTAGAGAATTGGGATTATATAATTGGGCAGCTTATTCTAATTTAGATATAATTTACTACATGAAGATTCAAGTGGTAGTTGCACTGATTAAGTAAATAAACAAGAGGGGATTGAATTGGATGTAAAGTGATACTTCAAAATTTCCTCATGAAATCCAACCAATTCGAATCCTCACAAGAAACACAAAAAGGTAAATAAACAAACAATTAGACTTAACAAGCAAGCACATAAGCATACAAATTATAGCGGTTGGCAAAAATGATATTTATAGATTGCTTTAAAGTAAAGTGATCAAGATTAGCTCGATGCAAAATGAATTGACACTCAAGAATTCTTAATATGCACAAGCTTGTAATCTTGGAAGAATCATATGCACAAGTTTGTTACAAAGCAAGTGTGGTCCTATGGTGTATGAATTTAAGGTTAAATAGGTGTATGAGTAATAAAATTATACGTATATGAATAAGAATTTATATCAGACATACACGAAAGTGTGGTGAGGACCACTTATAGGTGCATCAAACATGCAAAATGATAACATAACCATGGGCAGAATGTCCAAGTATAATAATTTGCTCAAGCACAAGCATATGATGCTTCGAAGTATTATATGACTATATAGGCATGCAAATAAACAAAATAAGCAAGTAAGTAGACAATAGATGCAAATTTAAATAAAGAGCTACCCCCAATTAACCTATATTTATGCTTAACCCCTACTGAATAAGGATTCCCCTGGATCCCTTCTTTTCTCCATAAACTGGGGGAGAAACCATTACTTTATTTTCCTTAAAGGGGAAGAGCACCCACTTCTCTATTCGGTAAGAGCACCTAAAATATATTCCCAAAGATATCTTAATTACAAAGTTATGCCTACAAAAATTTCTTAGATTTTGGTTGTGAATGAAGGCAATTATCAAATAACATTATAATACACAATCTTTATTTTAAAATTGCTAAATGTATAAATAATACTAATTTTTTAGGAGAGGTTCGGGAAAAAAAAAACCATCAACTAGGATTCAAGGAAAAACGTTGCTATGAACAAATGGATTTCTTCACATAAAAATCTTCACATATGATTTAACATTTAAAAACTTGATTTTTCATTTTCCTCGTGAGTTTTAATGTCATTTTGTGTCTATTCATAGCCATGAGAAATCCAACAACAACAACACCAAGCCTTTATCCCACTACGTGAGGTCGGCTATATGAATGCTTTTGCTTTATTGTGTCATATTGAGAGTCAAATGCTCATGTAAATCTAATAAGAAAATGTCATTTCTAATACTTTCTAACTAAATCTTTTTTGGTCAACCTCTACCTTTCTTAACATAGGCTAGATCTAATTCATCTATCCTCCTAGCCGGGTCATCGGAAGGCCGGGATTTTATGTGACCAAACCATCTAAGATGACTACCTTATAGAATTTCCACTTAAGTTTGTGTGGTACTTTTTTATCATACAATAGACATAATGCATTACTCCACTTTAACTATCCAATTTGAATCAAACGAATAATATCTCCATATGTTGCACGATCACTTTGAACAAAAGACCCTAGTTAGCCATGAGAAATCCAAAAAAAAATCTCGCAAATGCATTAAAAACTTCTCCAAAATCCTCAATATTTTTGCAAATTTTTATACAAATTAGCCATTGCAGCGTATTTTCGCATTCGACAGTTCCCCCATTCGCTTTGTCCATGGTTCAACTAGTCATTCTCAGTTTGCAAGGGTATAGGGCTGAAAGACTTGTAACTTTCTTTTTGTTATTAACATAACTTAATGCAATTATAATATAAATATGTGATATTATATATCAAATTGCATCTAAACAATGTAATGAATTCAATGAAACATGAATTAAACCACCAAATGTATTTTATATAACATAATTACTCAATTAAACTTAATTAAATATATTTAATATAAAAATTATAACTAGCAAGTTTCATGATATAATTATGAAATTTATGATCATTCAAATTTCCTAATCACTTGAGTATTTAGGATCTTAAAAATGAGTAAATTAAGCATCTGATTACTGATTATATAATTTAAAAAATAATTTATGCATAATTATTTAATTCTCAATAAATCTATCAAATGTTTAATCAAATCAATTAAATTCCAAAAATCATAAATTATAAGGAATTTTTCTTTTAAATTAAAATTTATTTTGAATAAATATAGTTAAAAATAAATTAATTTATATTTGTGTTTATCATCTTTGAATCCTCGATAAATCCTACTAAATCAGTTTACAATTAATAGCACTTAAAATTCACACATTAGATTATTAAACCTTAAATCTTTTATCCTTGAGCTTGTTGATTTAATCCAATTGAGCTTGCCTCCAAGTTACAAATGCATCAAAACTAGTCCAGTGGAATAAATCCACATTACCATGGTTAGTTATAATTGAATTATCCAAGAAGAAATGCTTAGCAAACTATTATATTATGGCACACTTAATTTGTTATCATTAAATCACTAATGAGCCATACTTGAGAGGCTTATGGGGTCAATGAAATATTGATTTATTATATTAGTTAAGTTGAAGCTTATAAACAAATTTTTTGTATTCTCTTTCTTTTTTGCATTTGTGCATACGTGTGCCACTATAAGGGTCAATTTATGGACCACCTCTTAATCACTCGAGCGACACAGCCATGTTTAGCTCAAATATATCAAGCTTTTGCACTTGGGCCCAAATGCCCCTTGAACGTTAAAATTGTATTTTTAGTTTTTCTCTTCTATTTAGACCAGTCATAGATGGATTTATTTTGGCAAATACTGTAACAAGAAGTTCATTTCATATCCATCAGCTAATTCTCACTAGAGGGGAAGAACATAGCAATTGTATTCATCTGGTAACTTATTGCTTATTGTTTCTTCACAGGAGATCCATGACTACTTGAAAAGCCTTTGCCCTGATTTGCATGTTTCACGTGGTGAATATGATGAGGATACTCGTTACTCAGAGACTAAGACTCTTACAATTGGTCAGTTCAAGCTCGGGCTATGTCACGGCCATCAGGTTTACATTTTCAGCTATTCCTTTGCTTCATTTAGTAGAATATATGGTTTGAAATTAATTTGTATTGCATATAATTTCAAACTTTATACATGTAATCCTGAAAAAGAGAGATTGGTGGATGTAACCACCATTCTTGTTGTCCTAAGGCTGGGCAACTTGGGTGTCATTCAACCTTGTTCCTTGAAGGAGTGTTATGTCTAATATAATTTGAGGAGGTAGATTCCTTTCAAATTAGAAATCGATACCCGATGACATGTTTTTTATAAGCACTTAAATTTTATATGCTAACATATTGGGAACTCAGCATAATATCCGCCTTTATGTTTATTTTTATAGCATGATTAAATTAGGTTGTGATATTATTTAATGTGTATTATATTGCAATTTTGTTTGAAAAAGTTTGCTAAGAGTTCCTTCCCTTTTTAAGGGTAACTATGGAAGAAGAGTCTTCAGGCATGAAGTCTAAAAGCAAGGGGAAGCATGCTAGGCATCATTTTAATTAAAGACTTAAGTATTTATGCATTATTTTAAAATTTCATTCCTTTGTTGAGAACTTAATATTATGCCTCATATTTAGCAAACATAATGCAAACTTTAATTGGAATATAATCTAGCAAATTAGAATTAGTGGAGTGGAAGGTAGAAAAAAAATTTATGTTGAAATTTTATTCCCTTATTCAACATAAAAAATTAGATGATTAAAAACTAAATGATTATCAAGGAGAGAGATAAATTTAAAAATTAGTCTTTAATTATGGAATTCATAATTAACTACACAATAGAAACGGAATGTTGTTGTCTACAAATTTATTTGATTGCTATCATTGGAAAGCTATTATCCACGAATAGATGGATTGTTGTAAATGAAAAGATAGTATCAATGAATTTCTTAGTTGTTGTTGATGGAAAAGGGCTAGTCACAGTCCCACGGATGCTAAAATATTTCAACACTCACGAACAAATTGGGTTATATATGTTGATCGTGCCTATGTTGTTGATTAGCTTATGAAAACTCATTATGAGTAAAGCCTTGTTTTGGATATCTGCAGTTCTAGACTTTGGAACATAATTTAGTTTGTCTAGTCTTTTTTTTTTTTCTTGGATCAAATGTCAATCTATCTCAATGTGCTTTGTTATGTCATGGTGGATTGGATTTTTGTAATTTGTATAGCAATCTTGTTTCCACAATACACTTTTAGTAATTTTTTTCACTTAATGGTTTAATTTTTTAACAATCTTTTGAGATACGTTCCTTTGCAAATACCAAGTGCTTCTACCCTATATTTAGCTTCAACAATTTCTCAAGCTCATAGATTATTTCTTCTTCATCACTATCCAATATTTGGCTTCAACATTACTTATTGAGATCATAGATTATTTCTTGTTTCTCCATATAATCTGATTTTCCTCTGAGTATAATAATCTTAGGTGGATCTTTGCTATGATGTTTCTCTAGTCCAATCAACATTTGCAAAATTTTAATTTCTTTATTGTATATTTTTTATTGGTGTGATTTTGAGGCACATTTGAATGCGGTCAACAACTTTCATGTTTTCTTCAATTGGTTTATTCATGTTTTAGCTTCCAACACTAACATAAAATCCAATATGACTAGTGAAGGAGAGGCAGGTAAGTTTGGTCATAATGTTGTGGGCTCCGAAAATTCGGCCCCGGCCTCCGCTCGCTCTTCCCTTATTCGGCGAGGGAGTTTTAACGAACTAAGTTCCGGGGTAAATTTTGGAAGGCAGATGGGTTTGTAGATAAGACACTACCCAGAGATTTCGCCCTCATTTTGTGAGGACTTTATGATCTGAGTTCTGGTTTCCTATAGGCGCAAGCCCCTATAGTTAATTACCCCTCCCAATCACGAGAGAGAACTTTCAATTAAGGCTAGTCGTC